GGACCCCTGCTGAAACAGATGGGGCAACTGACAACTGACACCCAGGAAAAAGCCAACCTATTAAATAGGTACTTTGCGTCAGTCTTTCATCAGTCCCATGGGACGCCCATGCCCGCTACAGGGCCGGGAAGTCCGGGTGAGGGTGATCCGCTGCCCTCCTTTAATGCTGACTTTCTGAAGGAACATCTTGAGAAGCTGGATATCTTCAAGTCAGCTGGCCCTGACCATCTTCACCCCAGGGTACTCAAGGAGCTGGCGAGCATCATAGCCCAGCTATGTTGGCTAGCACTATGGAAGAAAGAGACTTGGGGGTCATCATTGACCACAAGATGAACATGAGCCTGCAATGCAATGCGGCGGCTAGTAAAGCGAGCAAAACGCTGGCTTGCATCCATAGATGCTTCTCAAGCAAATCCCGGGACGTCATTCTCCCCCTGTACTTGACCTTAGTGAGGCCGCAGCTGGAGTACTGCGTCCAGTTTTGGGCTCCACAATTCAAAAAGGATGTGGAGAAGCTTGAGAGAGTCCAGAGAAGAGCCACGCGCATGATCAGAGGTCAGGGAAGCAGACCCTACGATGACAGGCTGAGAGCCCTGGGGCTCTTTAGCCTGAAAAAGCGCAGGCTCAGGGGTGATCTGATGGCCACCTACAAGTTTATCAGGGGTGACCACCAGCATCTGGGGGAACGTTTGTTCACCAGAGCGCCCCAAGGGATGATGAGGTCGAATGGTCACAAACTACTTCAAGATCGTTTCAGGCTGGACATAAGGAAGAACTTCTTTACTGTCCGAGCCCCCAAGGTCTGGAACAGCCTGCCACCGGAGGTGGTTCAAGCGCCTTCATTGAACACCTTCAAGATGAAACTGGATGCTTATCTTGCTGGGATCCTATGACCCCAGCTGACTTCCTGCCCTTTGGGCGGGGGGCTGGACTCGATGATCTTCCGAGGTCCCTTCCAGCCCTGATGTCTATGAAATCTATGAAATTGTGGAGGCTTCCCTCTGCATTGTTGCTGCAGGAGAGGTCCAGCTTAGCCGAGGAGTCCCCCTTTGGGGAAGGGGGGCAACATCTCAGGCTTGGCCCTCTGCCCTCCTGGTTACAGAAAGGCCACATGGTGTGTGCTGAGCTGGGCCACGGCTTGTTCTCTCGTGTGGATGTTAACTTCCCAATTATCCACTATTTGAGTAAACTCCTCTGAAATGCTCCCTCTGCGCTAATGTGCCGGCTGCGTGACTCGTCTCCAAGCGCTTGGCAAAAGACACATTTCCCATGAGTGCAAACAACAGAACTTTCCCCTGGGGGGGCAGGGGGTGGGGGAGCCTGGCTGTTGAAGACACATCCTGCTGCTAAACCAGAACCATGGCAACAAACCAGTCTCAATTGATTTTCTCCAGCTTGGGAGAAAGGCTCCGGGAGAGGCATTCCCAGCCCGTGTAAGCCACTTATTGCAGACACAACCCCCCTGGAGGCTGCGGGCTGCCACGTTAGCTATGGTCCCGTGGTAGATTTCCACCGTGACATGTGCCCTCCCTTCTTCCCCATCCTCTTGGCTGGGGTCTCTTCTGTCTTCCGATGCATTGGCCTTGAGGAGTGTCTGCCTCCAGCCTCATACCTGCAGGGAGAGGTGGACTTGTAGAATCCCAGCGCTGCAAGGGGACGTCTGGGGCCAAAGATGGAGGTGTGGAGATGGCATTCGGATATAGTGTAATGCCAGCCTCTGAGGAACAGAGGTCAGGAGGAGCTCTCCCCTATGGGCAGGTTGTTCCAGAAGTGTCCTCTGGAGGGGCTGTAACCACTGGTCCCAGCCTTGCTGTCCCTCCCCGAGTTGCTTGACTCTTGATTTGGTTCTTTCAGACTGTTCCTGGCTGCTCTGGAAGGTGGTTTTGGTTGTGGTTGTTCAGGCAGGGAGAGGGGGGGCCCCCTCTGAGATGCACCCCCTGCCTATTCTGTTCCCAGGCTCCAAGTCTTTCTGAGGTTGAACTGAAACAGGAGGGGGTAAAAGACCTACTCTTTATTTTAAACTCACTTCACAAAGTGCATGTGCACACGCACCCACCCAGGCATGATATGATGTTCCCCCCCACCACAGCTGACCTTTAATGAGCCACATTGCATGCACTTCATTGGCAGGAAATGCTGCCGGAGGGCTCTCTCCGGCTTGCCACGTGGTGCCTGCTCCTTTGAAGGCTCTCTGAGCCTGGCGCTCCCCCACTGCGCCCCTGGCACCGCCGGCTAGATTAGAGAGTGGGAGCATTGAGGTGACAGACTGCTGCCAGCAATTAACCACCGATGAAAGGCCTGGGCTCCAAGCTGGTGAACTTTACAGAGCAGGAAGAGGTCCTTTCAAGTCCCTTTCTGCCAGGCAGGGGATCCCATGGCTCTGGGTTTTAATCTTCCTCTGGTTTGTGGCCTCCATTAGCCTCAGCTGTTTGCAGAAGCTCCCATGCAATCCCATGGCTGTGGCCTGCCCAGTATGGGCCACGCTGAGAGAGCTGGCAGGGCTGGGATGGAGCAGCTTCCAGGCTGGAGCTCTGAGAGTTTAGGAAGCTGGCCAAGGTGCTGAGGTGCGCTATGCTTAAGGCGTTGTGTGGTGCTGTGGGAGACCTGGACTCCCACGCTTGCTGTGCCACAGCCCCCTTGTGTGTCCTTGGTTCCATCGCTTCACCTCTTCTGTGTACCACTCCTTGTACAATGCTGAGAACAGTCCTGCCTGCCTCGCAGAGGGGTTGGTGAGGGGTGATAAAGGGAAGCCTGTGAGGAGCTCCACTACTGGGGATGTACGGATAGCTTGGTAGAGGCACTCGGTAGAACAGCCTGGAGGATGCCGATTCGCACAGCTTTGGAATCAGTCTCTTCCCCATGTAAACTCAGACAGACACATGCACAAAGCGGAGAGAGTGTTGACACATCTTTTCAGATGTGAAAGGTTTTCAGATTCTCTCAGTCTGGAAAAAGCTGGCCTGTCCTCAGCCTCCCCATGGAAAATCAGTCTCCAGATGTGCCAGGACACATC